AATGAAAACAACGATAAAAAGATAAAGCGATTGAGAAAAGTAAAGTGGAAAAAACTACACTCGAGGGCACAACAGAAGTGCGCAACACACGCAAGCGGAAATTGCCTTCGGAGCTACTTCCGATATTATCACGTTATTCGGCTATCTAAAGAAGTTTATAACGTGATGGTGGCGATGGCTGGTGGTTTGCAAGCAGAATATCAGAGGAGAAAAAGACGTTAACCTGTGGGACTACAGTAATTGTCTGATATTTTAATAGGCGAAATCGGCCACACGATCTCGGAGAGTGGGTTCCCTCGAACAATTGAATTTCTAATCACGGTCACAAATGACAACCTACTTAGAAACCTAGGTCCCGAGTCGAATGAAGGACATTAAAATTGAACACAGTCAGGGGATTCAGTCCTTCAGTTTGGGCTTCTGCTAAAAAAAATATGCTAAGAGCGACGTTCAGCACACAATTCCTGCAACCAACGAATAAGAGAAGTCCAGCTGAAAAACAGCTTCGACCTCTGGGGATGTTTTTTACAGTACGGCGAGTGCTGCAAGCGAAATGCCGCATTTTGCGAGACTGGTAATCACGCACAAAACCAAAATAAAGTACGGTTGCAATATTGATTATCGTGCAGCCTAATCTCAAGTCTTTTCAGTCACACCAGGACGCCTGCTCTGCAATGAGTTTCGTTCTGACCGCTTAGAAAAGGTAGATTTTGTAAAAAAAAAATGACTACTCAAATCGTATATTTTTCTTTTATGGAGTTTGGCTGCCTTTATAAGTTCAAATATATTTTATAGAAAACATGCACGAAAATATTCCTTCTCGTACTCGTTTGGTATCAAATTTCACCTTTTTTGCGCCACAACAAATAAAAGTCGCTCGTGCGCCTGAAACAACACTCCGTAGGACGACGATATGTCCGAAGTAGCCCATTCCTAACAGGCATACGTCGTCTACAGCAGCTGTCGTGAGTGCAAGCAAATCAGTAGAACTGGTTGACAGCTGCAGGCGTTGATGCATGAAAAAAGACTAGTAATGAGAAAAAAGAGCATACATTCCGCCCAGAGGGGTACATATTCAACTTGGGCGTGACCTAGGTCGAGGTGTTTAGCATACAGCAGTGCAATTGCAAGAGGCGTATCAATCAAGTGACCACGTAATGAGTAGCCGTATCGGAGTGTCCACAGCGTTGACTCCGCGTCCATTAATGACCGTCATACGCAGTGGGAATAGGTGTAAGGAAACCAACGAACTCAAACACGCCATTGAGAGTAATGGCGCAGGGATGAACTTCGCAATCAAACTGTGGGAAGTAATGCCACGATCAGCTCTGCATATAGACCAAGGGAGTAGGAAACGCTGTTTTATAGCCAATATTAATGAAACAGGTATCAGTCCAGCCGTAATAAACGACATAATAAATGTGCTCGAAGTCAACTGATACTGACTTTACGTCAAGTGCATGCAAATGCTCCAAAAAGTGTACAGTTGCAGATCTTACCCGTCAGAGAATCACCTGGGCCCATATCATCTAGACATGTCTGGAAGGCTGCCTCCATTTTCATCAGTCGCGGAGCGAAGTCATGTAACTCCTGATTTATTATGCCAGATGCCTGCAGGGGTAAGAGTAAATAAGCCATAGGGTAGTTCGCGTAGAATACGAAAGGGATAACATTTTTGAGAACCGGACGTGAAAGAAATATTTCCTCTGAACTATATAACGTTTAAGGATGACGCGGTCAAGAGGCGAGGAAACCTATTGACGGCGTTAGGGAACCGTTGCTGGCTTCCCTTCAGTTCCGACAACTGAAATTCTTCATCCGGTAACATTATCAAGCTGTAACTTTTAAGGCGCCTTGGTATACAGGCGTAAGATGTTGCTGAAAGTTTTGCTCAGAAATATATAAACAGTCGCAAGTAAAGATAAATAAACGTTGTCAAAAGATAGGATATTCGAATTGTGGATGTTGGCTACGGAAACCTCAGTTCTCTATGCTCTGAAACGAAAAGCAGGTGAGTATTATAAACTTAAGCCAAGGTAAACAGGAACAGTTTTTTCACATATTTTAAGACTTTAAAGTCGATTCTAGGGAGTGGCAGTTCTACGTCCCGTCTTTATCAATGAGTCCTTCACAAATAACCCAAGACTACATCCAACCACAAGAATGACGTGTCCAGTAAAAATGTGTGCATAAATACTACTGATTATAATTCAGTAGACATTACATGTAAAATACAATGCTCTACCTGGTCGGGAGTCACCGCGGGAGGTCTACGTGCGGAGGGCCCTTGCACGTCAAAAGCCTGGTTCACACTCGACGCAGTACGAACTATTTCAGCAACGAGCCTGCCAAGGAGTTGTGGCTTTTCCGGTGAGTCGAGATCGCTGAGAATGGCGGCCCTCGAGGCCCGATAGATAAGATGTCGCAGCTTCAACTGCACACCCTGCCTGCCCGGCAGGAGGCCATCCTGGAGAGCAAGGGCCAAAGCCCGACTGTGATCAGCCAAAACACGATATGCCACATCCCTCAGGAGAGGTGTAAAAACAGGCTGCCTTTCCCAAATGACAGCTTTCTACAAAGCAATAAAAACATGCTTTGGGGAGAATGGAGAGGACTGCTTCTACAGGTGATAACGACGGATCCAAACTAGGACATAACAGACAATGGACTTAAGTTACCTTCTTATCCGAAGTTTTATGACGGGAAAATAGCGAGTGGAATATGGACCCGAGGTGACCTGGTGAGGCTTGGGCGTCAGATGATGAGGCTCCAGTACAGTCCTCTTGAGCAGGTTTAGGACAGTGAAAATGACCTTCATACGCGGAGGGGGATGATCCGGTGACGCGTTTTGACTCCGCCTCAATGAACGACATCAGAGGGGAGTAAATGTCCGTATCGTAGGTCGTCATCACTCCCTAATCGAATAAGTCAGAAATGCTTGAGAAGCGCGCGCCTTAATACCCAACACATATGAAAAGCGATAAGCAGAACGATAAGATTTGGTTGGGGGGGAGAGCTTACCTGCATGACAGATGCCAGACGTTCCAGTCCCATCCCAGTGTCCACATTGAGACTAGGGAGGGGTAAAAGACGGTTTTTACCCGACGAGTCCTGCAGGAGACGATGGGTAATGAAAACACAGTTCCACAGTTCAACGACTTGTGGATCACCAGCGTTCACAAGACAGCGTGCACAGTTCAAGTCCTCGGTTCCCGAGAGTGCTCGATAGTCCACATGAATTTCCGTTGCTGGCCCGCAAAGGCCACCCCCCGCCGCTTGATCGGCCCGCCAGAAGTTGTGTTCGAAGCCGAAGGGCAGTAGCTTTTGGTCACTCACACTAAAGCAAACGCGGGTAGGTAACACAGGAGTCAAAATGGAGGAACGCGATAGGCACGAGTGTGAAGATTTAATAAATATAAAAGGTAACTGTGTTTTGTCCTCCGACAGATTCTCTAGTAATTCAGAGCCCCTAACAACAAAGAAGGCAAATTGATGCACAGACCATTCCTAGGTCCTCAAACTGTTAAGGAAGAATATCAGGAAGGCTGTGGTTTCGTAGATTAGAATGGAAGCCGTGTTAAAGATTTCTTGAAGACGTTTAAAATGGCTAGAAGCGTCCCGAGGAAGGGATCTGGATTAGAATAATGGGCAAAACTGTCTTCTAGGGCCCCCTAAATATATATTCCCCCCACCCCACTGTCTAACGTATCTTGTGGTCAAACATTTAATTATTGGTAAGTGAGTGTAAATGAATATTTAAGTGTGATGGAAATGATCAAAATATATTGAATTAAATAAATTTATATTTGTTTCAATGTACTAAATTAAATCAAATCCAACAACATAAGCTCCTGTTGCTCAGGATACTGATGCCAAGTGAAGGATATTCAACATTCTATTGGCAAAATTTAACGAAAAAAGGAAAATTGCGTTACTGAAAACGTAAAGGCAGGTTATTGTTATAAGCCAAATACAAAAAGGACCTCTAAAGACAGTCAGGCCAGAAAATGTTTTCTTATCATCTTCCCGAATATAATAGCTTTCAATTTAAAACTATCAGCTTAACAGCAGAGGTGAAAAATAAAGCAAGCACAAGGCGGAAAATCACCCGAGAGCCATCCAGATGTCCCGGGTCTCATCATCAGCTGGAAGATCCAAATCTGGACATCCTCCAAAGTACGTCACGTAGAGGCTTTTAGCCGGAAGACCCAAGACCTCAGTCAGAAATTTCCACATTTGGCGGCAGGCGGTTTCCTACAAATATTGTTCTGATATTAACGATTACACAGTTAAGCAATTAAGAAGAATAGTAGCCAGCCAATATGTGACAAAATTGGAATAAAAAAGGGAAATACTACGTGGACTCACCTTTCCGTAGTCGCCGAAAGACCAGTTGCCCAGCATCTCGAACATGGTGTGATGGTAGGTGTCGTACCCTACGTCATTCAGGTCATCATGACGCCCACCAATACGAATGCAGGGTTGGCAGTCGACGGCACGACGGAGGCGTGTAAATTCAGACTCCGTTTCGTGGGTTTGGAGAAAAAGTTCCTTGAATTGATTCATGCCTGAAGGAGGACATTAAGAGCGGTCACTAGTCGTATTTAACAACCTGAACGCTTAGAAATTTGGAAAATTAAGAGAAAGTCGATGGAAACACGAGCAGTACTTTCCAGCTAACGTACATGAACGTTTAAAGTTGGGCTAATAATTCATATGAGCCCCAATGACCAAGGTATTTAGTCAGGTAGACCTCCAGAACACTAATACGGCTAAGTTTAGTCAATAACTCTTCACTGCAGAAAGAAACTATAGGGATCCAGAATACCGGGATAACTCCTAACCAACAAGACGACGGTTCAGTCTAGTTAATTAAAGCTGAGAATGGTAGGGAATTCCACTGAAAAATCCCAAACCGCTCGGTCTTCATCGCTGTAGTAGAGTGAGTAAGGTTCTACAGCTGTGCTGTTGCTGATAGTCGCGCTGGAGGAGTAAAATTGGCGGCATCACTTCGGTCGTCTAGCATATATGTGAGTTCCGTCATAACAGGTGCAGGCAGCAAACGACGGGAGCTCCGTTGAGATCAGGTATGATAGAAGCCAGAGAGAACTTAGGAATTATTTTGTGCAGTGCGATTAGCCTCGGGTAATAAAGGTAGCTATAAACATAAAGCTCAGAGAAGAAACACATGTGCTGCAGCCATGGCACGCCAAGTAAAACCTTGGAAATAAAAACATATTAATGACCCAAATTTGGAAAACTAACTGGCTGTGATGACCCAATAAGTGCAAAGAAGAAAGAGACACGATCGCCGGAACAAAAAGTTTATTAGGCTGACGTTTCGGATTCTCTCTCGAATTCATCATCAGAAACAGAGTCTTCGCGCCTACTGCCTGGGACTCGCCTCTTCGCATCTATTAGCAAATAATATGCAGGTTGTTGGCGCAGCATCTTGCGAGGCGAGTATGGGAATTACACCAAAAAGGTTCATGCTTATGTGGCGAGCATTTTTCCAGCAATGCAGCCTTTCTCGATGACAAAGACTGTGAGGATTGCGGAGTGTGTCATTATTAAAGTCCTTTAGTGCAGTTTTCAGGGAAACAGCTTTACCGTTGAAAGTCAATGGAAAAAAATATCATACCAGTACTGATTTCTATCCAGTTCTGGTGGCAAGGCATTCAACAGAAAACCAGCGTGATATCGTGTGTAAAAGGAATTTTAACTTTTACATGCTTATCAATACTTCCGCCTTACAAAACTAATGCTTGATATTGGAAAGCACGTGTAAAAATCTCGATCAATGCGTCATGTGTTTCGGCACCTAATATACACATGCAGCGTCGGAAAAGTGGACACCGTACAAAACTCCGAAATCATGCTATTTACTAACTTCCTTTTTAAGTCTACTTTCTGTGACCTTGAAGTTCCCGGCTGCATACCTAATACCCTGGACTGAACACATACTTTGTGCCCAGAAGGGAATATGCATAGCCTCCAATAAGTGAAGGGGCGCTTACCCCCGGACTGAACAGATACAGACAATCGCCAACTTAGGCACAAATTACGTTCCGAACGGCACGATAAGTCGTTACTTATTGTAATTTTAATTGGCACTATACTCTATACAATTTTACAACTTTAAGTGAACATGATAATAAGGCAATACACATGTTCTCTTATCCTACAACTTATTGGAGCTCTGTGAATACAAATTGGACCTGCATTCCCCTTTGCTTGTAAGCAGAGGGGTGTCTGCACTTCGTGTCCAGAAACGAGTATACATGGCCTCCGCTGGGTGAGCACAAAGCATAAAAATCCCGCAGAGGCACCTATGGAGGCCAGAAGAGTTCACCTTATTAGATAAAGTCAATCATGTCATCGGGCCGGGTCTTTCCGGAGTTATGCCGTCACCAACGGCGCAACTTTGTCCTTTTAGTGGACTGCGCACTTCACTAACTACATAAACTAACGTCTAGCTTGACA